TACCAACCGATGATTGCTTTCATATGTTAAATATAAAATATAAAACAATATATACAGTAATTGTGATTTATATTACTTCTGTTAGCTTACAGTTTGTTTGAAATTTAATTTCTTTTTGATAAACAATTGTTGGAAATTTGAATAAACTAAATTAGCATGTTAAATTTAAGTCTTAGATAAATGTAGTGTTGTGTTTGTGTTTGGATTATTAGATATACTGTTAAGAAACAATAAAATTATCAAAACCACAATTTCCTTATTATACAACACTTAATGTGTTTTCTAATAATATTCACAATTTCTATGTTTTTGAGTTCATATCAATAATTATATTTACTTTTATCATACTTGATAGTAATAATATAACTATGATTTTGTTGTGGCCTCAGTTCCCATACCTATTCCGATACCTGTTGGAGGCGGAGGTGGCGGTCATTATTACCATCACTCCACTAAATCCGGTAAATATTTTATTTATTTATTTTACAAAATAATTGCATTAACACTAATATAATACTAATGGGGATGAAGTGCCGATATATATACCGGTAAAACACGCCACACATAAGCATAAAATCAATGTATACGGCGGTAGTGGTGGAGAGGGAGGCTATGGTGGAAAAGGAGGCTATGGAGGGACTGGAGGTTATGGTGGTTACGGAGGAGATGGCGGTTATGGTGGCACTGGTGGGTACGGGGGTTATGGCGGTACCGGTGGTTATGGGGGTTATGGTGGAGATGGCGGTTACGGCGGCACCGGTGGGTACGGCGGACACGGAGGCTATGGGGGAGAAGGACACGGAGGTTATGGGGGAAGCAGTGGTGGTCACGATAGTTATCGTCGTTAAAGTAAACATTGACTTTAAATGTCATAAAATATATAAATTTGTATAATATTTAACACAAATATAAGTCATTATATAATTATGATATAATTAATTAAAATATACTATAATTTTCATATTAATAATGATTTAATCATAAATTATTTTAATATATCACATTTTAAATTTAATACTATTTAATACAATGTAATAAATAATTACTGTAAAGCTATTGAAATAAATACTGTATAAGTGAACCAAATGTTTGGTTCACTTTTTAAAAATTGAAATTTAATTTATTATTTTTAAAATACAAATAACATTTATTTTTAAATAAGTCAAGACTTAATAAAATTTTGTTGAAATGATTTAAACCTATATTGTTTTATGGTTTACTATTTATGTATTGTATAATCGATGAACAGTCCATTAAATAATCAATAATTAATAAATATAAATAAACATCATTATTTATTTTAAGCATGTTTGATTCAATATAAATTTAAATATACTGTAAATATTAATAAATAATACCTGGAATTTTTTGTACAGTATAATAGGATTACCATAATGTGTTTAGTCTGGTTTCTAGGAAAATTTATTGCTATTTGTCTATATGTAATATCTATTTTTATCATGTTAATAAATTGTTTTAGTGAATCATATACCATGATCAATAAATGTACTTTTGGTATTTTATTTTATAATTCAATTTCTATGACAAACTAGTTTTTTCTTGTAAATTACGTTATATTTAATTAAATTAAAGCAAATTCAATTATAAATATAGAGTAAAAGGATGAGTAACCATAAAATAAATTATTGAATGACAATAATCACACATTTTAATTAAAATTATTTTTAAAAAAGAAAATATTTTTTACAATTCTTGTTGGAAAAATCTGAGAAAATAAATAAAATACTATTCACACAAAATAATTTAATTAAGAAACAAATTAATACCAATAAAAATAATCTACTACTTATTAAACTTCAATTAATATAAATTGTTATTAAATAATAAATATTCATAAAACTTATATTAAGAAATAAGAAGATTTATAAAAGATTTGCATTTAATAATAATATTATGTTATTATGTTATATTTATTAATTAAATTTATATGTTATTGGTACATAATATAATTGTACATAATATATTGGTACATAATAAGTATTTATATATTATATAAATAATTATTATAGGCTTTAATTTATAGCATAATATTATTCAAATATTTCAAACAACATATTGACATCAGATTAATTTAATCAATAAACATGTGATTAAATTGGATTTAAATATAAGAAATAAAGGGGAGAAAAGTGTCATTTCTTATGCATGGCTTATTGTAAAAGTCAATCAATAATTTGTTTTATAATAACTTATAAACATATTATGTTTGCAAATAAAACAGTTATTTGTCACGAAAGGTAACCCAAAGATAATGAAATCAAAAGGACAAACGGTAATGAAAATTATAGCCAAATAAACACTATTTTCACTATTCATTCAATAAATAAATCTAAATTATTGCCAATTACTACTTCTACAATATATGACCTTTAATTGAGTGCACAAAACAACATATGATTACAATTAATTAATCGTTTTATAGACACACATAACGAGAGTATAAAATGGTTTAATTTTTGCTGAATTATAGTGTTTTATAGTCTGAAGTCTGGGTCAGTCCGACACTGAAAACTATGTTTGCTATGGATTTCAAGTTTAATAACTTATTTTGTAAAACAGTTGTGTTATCGTTAAGTTTGATCGTGTGTTTAAATGATATACAGTGCCAAAGACATGGCGGCGGCGGTACTATCATAATACTCGGTGGAGGCGGTGGGGGTGGAGGGGGTGGCGGCGGTGGCCATAGAGGTGGTGGTGGCTATGGAGGCGGCGGTCACGGCGGCGGTGGAGTTAAACTAGGTTTATAAATGCTTAACAAATGATGAGTTAAATTATATTTGTTGATTGTTTTGTCCAATAGTTCCCATTCCTATTCCCATTCCTATCCGCAAACCTGATAAACATATTTACATCAAAAAGACCAAAAAAGGTAAGAATTGTGTACTTATTTTACATTCATGTACTTATTCATAATTTTTGAATTTAATAAATGATGACAACTGAACGATGACAATGAATGTGCCTCCAGTGCCAGTGTACGTTCCCGTCCACACCGGCACTCATAAACACACAATCAATGTCTACGGCGGAAAGGGAGGACACGGGGGTAAAGGTGGTTATGGCGGCACCGGTGGGTACGGCGGAAAGGGTGGTCACGCGGGCAAAGGTGGTTATGGCGGCGGTGGTGGACACGGAGGTTACGGCGGTAAAGGTGGTCCCGGGGGTTATGGCGGTCACGGCGCTAAAGGGGGTCATGGAGGCTATGGAGGACATGGCGGACACGGGGGAAGTGGCCATGGAGGAGGTGGTGGTGGACACGGCTATTAATTGCAATAAACATACCTCTCAAATGTAAATTTGTCTATGTTTTGCATTTTATACATAGAGTTCATATTATTTATACACTATAATATTTTTACGTATATAATTTATTAATCATATAATTAGCATGTTTTTGCTTTCATTATACCGGTATGTATTTTTTTTATTTATACATAATCAATAAATTTCGCAAATTACATTAATAATTAGTGAGCGGTAATTACATTATAAAGTATTTACAGAATCATAAAAAATGTTTGTCAAAATGTTTTAATCAAAATCCTGTGATTTCACCGGATTTTTAAAGATTATTAGCAAAAAATGTCATTTCTTATGCATCGCTAGCCGTGAGAGTCAGTTCGTAATGTCTTTCTCTCGGATTAATTGCAAAATAAATTTCGCGAATTAATCATTCATTTGTCACAAAAATGCAAACCGAAAGTGAAGTCATAATAAACGCGTTTCAGTTAAATAAATATCACTAAAAAAAAGACTATTATTAGTGAAAATTAGTTGTTTTTTACTTTCATTTAAAGTAATAAATCTTTTGATTTAACGCAAACTTCTTGTGACTTCTTTTGTGACAATAAACAAGTGAATCGTAACGCAAGCGAAAGGCATATAAAATGATATTATAAAATGCCATTTCGTTGATTAACAAATGTGTTATCAAACTTAGTGCTTAACCATTGCTTAACCATTGGGTCCATCCGTTGATATGTCTTACATTAAAATGCATTTTATATATCATTTCAATCGTATTCTGTTTGTCTCATTGAGTTGTGTGTTGTGTTTGGATGTGATTTATTGCCGAAGACACGGCGGGGGCTCTATTATAATCATCGGTGGGGGTGGAGGTGGCGGCGGTGGCCATCATTATCATGGTGGCAACGATGCCCAAATAGGTCCGCATCATGATCACTTTGCAAACTTATCAACATGAAAACTATACAACAGTAATATTCAATATTTGTTTGTCTAATAGTTCCCATTCCTATACCAATCCCTATCGGCGGAGGCGGTGGTAATCATTACACTCATAAGTCTACCAAACATGGTATAAATGTTATATTGTATATTTCAATTACTGTACTAACAATTGTGTTTAACTTATGTTGAACAAAGTGCCAGTGTATGTTCCCGTTCACACCGGCACTCATAAACACAAAATCAATGTTTACGGCGGATCGGGAGGGTATGGCGGTGTCGGAGGTCACGGCGGAAGCGGGGGCTACGGCGGCAAAGGTGGTTATGGAGGCGACGGTGGTTACGGCGGTTATGGGGGTCACGGAGGTTATGGTGGGACCGGTGGCTACGGTGGTTATGGCGGTGACGGCGGATATGGCGGTTACGGTGGCTATGGAGGGCACGGAGGGTATGGCGGCGACGGTCACGGAGGGCACGGAGGGGGCTATCATTGATAACAAGCCAACCATTAAATGGATTTTATTTATTATTTAAAACTGATAGGTCTCATCTAGATTTGTCTCATTAGAATCTAGAACTATTATTAAAAAGTTTGCAAATCTATATTGTTCATTTTGTTCATGATTGAAATAAATAATATGATTATTATATAAGTGAATGTATGTGTGATTGAAATCAAACACAATTATTACGAGAATATTCCGGATTCTGTACCCAAATGTATGGTTGAATGCAATGCCAGACGTGTGGCGACACCTGAAGTGTATATTTCACTCGCCATTCAATGCTATAAACATTTAAAACAATAATTATTATTGTTTTTCATTTGATTTTCTAAAACCAGTTATTAATTGAAATATTAATTAATAATTCAATTATTAATAAACAAATCGGCGTTTCATTAGTCTGTCATTGCATTCGCGTATATAATAAGTGGTCAATAAGTTTGCCATCAATTGTGTCACCGCTTTGATCGCCGCTGAAGAAGTAATGGATGACGTGAGTGATGTGGACATCGATGTCGGCCGCTTTAAGTACGTGTTGATCGCCGTAACGGATCCCAAGACACGGGTCACCAAACATATCGTGAGAGGATATATCAGATGTCACTTCCATGGTATGCGCTGTCCGTCCAATCCATCGCCGCATCAATTGACCCCTTAGTCCATGAGTTGATGAGTTAATTAATTTGATCCGTCCATAGATTGTCTCAACACTTGTATAACCCGTTGTCTATATATCTCTAGTGACGAGTCTTTTGTGGCAAAAGTTGTGTTTCAGATCACAAAACATTATTTTTATTTGCTTTTTGTGTATAATTTTTTCTGGTCGATATTTACCCAACAAATTGCCATTTAATTGAATGTATTGTTAAAATGCAATTCATTTCAACCAATTATTGGTTTAGATTTGGCCTCAAATTGCTTTTGAATTGAGTTTTTTGTTTGTAATACCAATAGTTGTCTTAGAAATGTGTTGTTTATTAAGATTGCTTTTATTGGCTTTTAATCAATATTTGTTTGCCATGAAGTACTCAATAGTGTAGCTCTCGATTGTGAACTACTGTATTGCAAATTAATTATTTATTTTAATTATTTGTACACTATATACACATTTAATCGTACGATAAGAGTATTATATCCATTGATAGTGTAGTTGTAATTGTGGGCCAATATGAGAGCACATCCGGGAATCTTCACTCAATTGACTTTCAATTTGATGAATACATTGCGTTGAATACGGATTGAGTCTAACATATGATTACCCGATCATTAGGTGATATCGTGGACGAAGTGGAGCCGCAGTTGAATCGACTCAAACTGACGTACGATTGTGTCGGCGGCGGAAGGATTGTACACAATGTGGAGGAGAAGACAATTCTCATCTTCGGCTACAGCCAGGGCTTCGGTAAAGCTGACCATTCAATCGCCTCTAAGATACTCAAAGAGCACTACAAAGACTACGAGTCCATCACGTGGTCCGATGAGGGCTATTAGACCGCCATTTGAGCCGCACTTCAAATGCAGTATTTTTATAATGAAAACAAAGAATTGTCTCTCAATAGGAAACTAATTAAACAAATGCTTGTTTTTCTTTTAAATTATACATTTTATTATTAATAATAGTAATAATAATGAATACCTTTTACAATGAGATAAATAACTGAATAAATAAATTATTTTTTCTCTTTTTTATATAATGTAATTTTGTTTGTTTTTTATTTCGATCTTATATTTAACACCAAATACTGTATTAACGAACGAATAACTCGTTATTTGACTTCAATTTGAAATCAAAAGTAAATTATTTTATATATAAAGACATGATTTTGGTTTTCCCCCCAAATTAATGGTAATTGACTTTAAAGTCAATGACCAATAAAGTCATGATTGCATTCAATTGTATAATAAAAACGGTACTGTTTTTACAGCCAATATATAATCATAAATAAAAGTCACACAAAAAACATATAATTTTAAATTAAAAGAACAGCAAAAAAAAAGTTAATCAAACTTATTATAACAAACCATACGATTCATGAATTAATATTAGTTTTATGTGTCGTTTTATATTATGCTTTTCCTCCTGTTTTTGCTTATATTATACATTAATTTCATGTGTTTTTTGTGTAATTCATTGAATGTATGAATCGTTGATTTGAAACCACAAAAGAAGAAAATAAGTAATTTTTTAAGTAAAAAATATAAAATATTTTTGTGACTCAAATGAATGAAAAGCAAAGACAACAGTGTTTTTGCTGTTTATGAAATGAGAGACTCAAAAAAGTGCTCTAAAAATATATACTTAAATGCAAAATAAAAATCTAAATTATAAATACATTAAATATAATAATAATAACTATAATATGTATATAAAATGTATGGAAATGTATTTTTATATATAATTTTTGTGTTAGTTTTTCAAATCAAAGGTTTTTAATGATGTATTTTTTTGGTTTTTGTTTTGTCATAAAAATGTTATTTTCGATTTAAATTTTGTGTTTCAATTAATAGACTCTGATATACAGTATAAGTAATATTTCGCTAAATTTCTGTCAAGATTTTTCGTTTGCTGACAAAAACACATGAAAAACGAGTTTCATTTGTAGTGGTTTTTCTCAATAGTATTTTCCTAATGAAAGGTATTGTCTGTTAGTCTTATAGGACAGGACATCGAAAGATTGATTGAAAATTAATTACTATTTTAACGCCATTTTTAACAAAAACACAAGTTTTGTTAAAAAGCAAAAAACTTATTGTTAGAATTAATTAAAATATTAATACTTTTATATATAAAATATATATAATAATAGCATTAAATACAATGCGAATGATCGGCGAAATGAGTGTCAAAATAAAAAAAGCAAAATAAATATATTTCTGAATCTTAAAAACATTTTTCACGATTTAATATGTATTTTGAGCTAAAAATGCACATAAACTCAAATCCCAAATACTGTATATATTTGGCACTACTTTACCGTAACTGTTCACTAAAAAAACATACCAATCAAATTGAAAACTAGTTGCCTTTTGTTTTATGTAATTAACTAAATAGTCAATCAATAGATCCAAAGAAATGGACAAAACAGATGTCTGGGGTATAGATATATAGAGTGAAGCAATTAATGGATAGAGTCATAGACTTTGGAGATAATCACTGTTTTGACAGCAAAAGTGGGTAAAAATAAGAATACAATCACTAATTGTTTAATACATAATTAATTTAACAGTAATACTGATCCGTAGCACAGAATCCGAGGCTCTGTTTTTGTTAGTTTGTGAGACAATATTATGATAAACTTATCGTTAAACTTATCAAATGATAATTATTTTTCACAATTCATTTTTTTGTAGGTTTTTGTTTGTGTGGAAAGACTTGTCTTATATTTTTCACATATTTATAAACACTATTTTTTGGGTATATTTTTTATATTCAAACCTTTGATTTCAAACAACATTTGTATTTTTTTGTCGCCACTTTTTCTACACTTGAGTTTTGGACGACTTTCGCGCCGACGGGGCGTTAGAACTGGATTTGGTTGATGTGGTCGACGACTTGCGACTACTGGTCGACGAGTATTTCATGGGCTCGTCATCGGACAGACACTGTTTGTCCGGCAGTGACGAGCGCTGGTCTTCGATACGTCCCGCTTGGAAACGCAGGATTAGACTAAAGAAGTCCTCATCGGGAACCGTTGGCGCCACACTCTAGTCACACAAACAAACCATAGGTTAATATCACACCCAAAACATCTCTTATATCACACAATACCTGTTGCGGAGAATTGCTTTGAGTGGAGACAACACTTTGTGGCCGCTCGAGAGTCGATGGTCTCGTGAGGGCTTCACCGTCGGTGCCGTCGTCGGTGGAAGTGCTGGGCATTAGTGTCCGCTGGTCTTCGAGACGACTGGCCTGCGAGCGCATCAACATCTCGAAGAAGTCGTCGTCGGGCAGAACGTTAGCGCCCAACGAGTACTGTCTGTTAGGTCCGGTGCGGCGCGGGTTCTGCGGATTGTTGGCCCGCAGTCGGGGCGGCAACTCGTGAACGTCGTCCTCGTCATTGTTCGCCTGTCGGGCGCTCTGAACGTAATTGTGGTTTCGTTGTTGTGGAAGACTTTCGGGTCCATTGGTGGCACTGTTGCGGCGGACGGGCGGCAGCGCTGCCCTCTGGTCGTCCATTCGGCGCTCTTGCATACCGGCGATCATATCGATCAGGTCGTGGAAATGGTCGCCACTCGACGACGACTGCGAGTCCTGCGATGATTGGCCAACACTTCCGATGTGATTGTTGTTCATCGGATGCGACGACGCGTTGCTATTATTGCGGTTATTATTGGGATTTGCATTACCAGTGCGTCCGACGTTAGGGTTAGGGTTAGGCAACGGGTTGTTGGCCTCGCGAATGGGGATAGTATTGGCGAACTGCCGGTTCAACTGACTGTTGGCCACGGGTTGGCCGCATATGGGATGCGGTTTACGGTTCTCCTTATTCTCGGCGCCATTGAGTGGACACCTCTGGTCGTCCATACGTTTGCTCTGAAACTTAGACACCAAATCCAAGAAGTCTTCGTGACTTTTGCTGATAAAGTCAGTGCTCGACGACGAGACCATTGGCTCGACGGTCGACTCGCCGCCACTATTATCACCGCCGCTACCCGTGGCCACCATCTCGTCCACAGTGTTGAGCGAGTGTTTGCGCTGCTGTGGCGTCATTGACATCACTTCCATCCGATCCATCGACAGTCGTTTGGGGCGTCCGTAGCTGTCGGAGCCCTCAGTGGGACTTTTGTTAATATCCTTTTCCAAGAGCTTTCTTAAGTCAGAAATACTCATTTGAGCGGTCGTTTGACCCGTAATGTCGCCGATCTCTCGGCTAATCTCCAAATGCTTTTGTGCATAACTGAGGGCCTCCTGATGGTCGCCCACCGCTGTCATGGCGTTGCCTAAACTCCAATAGGCGCGGCCCTCCCCTATCCGGTCCCGTAACTCCTGAGCAATCTTCAGGTGCCTTATGTGGTACTCAATGGCCGACGGATAGTCGCGCAGAAGAGTGTATGTGTTGCCCAAACTATAACAGGCCTGCGCTTCAACCACCCGGTCCTTTAGCTGCTCCGCCAAGTCTAACGTTTGTCTATCAAGTGGTGATCATAAGTGTTGGTCAACAATAAGCGATCAAATCCAGTATAAGTTGCGTGTTTTGGGGCGCAACTCACTACTCACTTATAGTTATCGACGGCTATCTCAAACTGACCCAAAAATATGTGAGCGTTTCCCAAATTGCATTGCGCTCTCCGTTCGGCCGCTTTGTCCCCAAACTCTTTGGCAATTTTCAGTCTCTGTTTCACGTAAAGTATGTGTCAATACAAACAATTAATTTTGTGGTTATTATCAATTGGTATACCTCTTCGTGATAGGCGACCGCTTGCGTAAAGTTTCCCAACAAGTAGTGAGTGTTACCGAGATTACCGCACGCCCGGCCCTGCGCTGACTTATCGCCCATTTGTGTCATTAGATCCAGATTTTGTCTGCGATATACAAATCAAGTGTAAATTTATTGATGGATTTTAAATGTAATTCAATTCATACTTATAATAGTCGACCGCCTGTTCTAAGCAGTGCTTCACTTCGTCGGGAAACTCTCCCGGGTCTTCATTCCCAGCTCTGGCCATATTCTTGCCTTTCGTGTGATACACGTTACCCAAGTTATACAGCGCTCGACCCTCGCCTACCTGTGCCCACACACACAACAAACAGACAAAGAATCGGTAAGTTTTGGTACACATATAAAGAAACATTTAATGGCAAATGTGGTGTCAATTACTTTATCAGACAATTCACGGCTGATCTCGAGATGTCTTTTGCAGAAAATGATGGCGTCGTCGAAGCGTCCCATCATTTTCAATGTGTTTCCTAAGTTTCCGGAGGCCTTCGCTTCGCCGATGCGGTCGTTAATGGATCTGATGGACACATAAGCGGGACATTCATTACAATGTGATTACAAATTAAACAATCAATCAAAAAGGGATGGAAATGGTATTGGGATCTAATGGCAAAGCGATTGAGACAATAGTGTCAATACTTGGCAACTGTGAGGTCGAGTTTGTGGTAATCCATGGCCTTATGATAATTGGCTAAATAGAAGTACGCGTTTCCCAACTGGGAATAGATGGCCGACAGTGTCTTCAGATCATTGGTCCCGCACTTGACGGCGGCCTCGAAGAAGGCCACCGAACCGTTGAAGTCACCCAACTTTGACAGCCGCTCGCCCTCTATGGCCAGCTCTATACAAGTGGTCACATCCATGGCCTATGGCTTACCACCGATGGTCAGCGCAGACAACACACGAGACACAGACACTGCCCGAAGATGTGGTCACCGTTTGGTGTATCGCTTGAAACAACACTACAATCGATGGTTTGTTTGCAACGCGAAAGCAGTGATCATATGATGTTTGGGACAACCATTTGGTGTATGTCTTGAGATATCGGCCAATGATTTAGTGATTGAATGAAACGAATAGACAATTGATTTCAATGTGGAGTCAACTGAAGTGAATGTAATGTTTTTATGAATGCATTCTTTGACTCAAACAAACGGTTTTCTCTATCAGTCCATTGCTATTGTGAGACACAACTGGACTATCACTGCGACTGCGCCGACACTACTCAACATCACATCCAACCCATCATCTCATCCCAAGCTCTCTCTCTCTCTCTCTCTCTCTCTCTCT